GGACGAGGAGGAGGAGAAGGAGCAGGAGGAGAAGGAGGAGGAGCAGGAGGAACGCGGCGCGAGGAGGATGAACGAACTGAGGCCCGACCCTCTCACATTTGAGTCCGTCGTAGACTCGGATTTTCAATTGTAAAGGGGCCCGAGAGATTCTTGCGAGAGGTTCTTGGGGAACTCTTTGGGCCATCTTACGGGCTCTCCCGGGCTCCCCGTGGGGCTCTCCTGGGGCTCTCTTGGGGGTCTCTTGGGGCTCTCTTGAGGCTCTCTTGGGGCTCTTTTGGGAGTCTTGGGGCCCTCTTGGGGCTCTTTTGGGGGGTCTGGGAGGCCTCTTGGGGCCGTCTTGGACCCCTTCGCTCAAAAAGAGGGGGGTATCAAAATTAGGCCCCCCCTCGGAGGCCCGAAATGGGCGTCTTGGGGCCCTCTTGGAATGCTCTTGGGGCGCTCTTGGGGCCGTCTTGGGGCCCTCTTGGGCCTCTCTTGGGGCTAGGTTGGGCCATCTCGGGGCTCTTTTGGGGGGTCTGGGAGGCCTCTTGGGGCCGTCTTGGACCCCTTCGCTCAAAAAGAGGGGGGTATCAAAATTAGGCCCCCCCTCGGAGGCCCGAAATGGGCGTCTTGGGGCCCTCTTGGAATGCTCTTTGAGCGCTCTTGGGGCCGTCTTGGGGCCCTCTTGGGCCTCTCTTAGGGCTAGGTTGGGCCATCTTGGGGCCATCTTGACGCCTCAAGAGCCCATCGGAAGCGAAAAAGCGAAAAGGCAAAAAACAAGGATTGTCTGAGGTTTTGAACCCGTTTTGGCCTCTTGGGGGGGGGGTCCTTGGAGGGCTCGGAGGGCACTTGAAACCGTCGTGGGGCCGTCTTGAGGCCTCTTGGATGCGTGTTGGAGGCCATCTTGGGCTAGCTAAAGCCTCTTGGACGCTCTGGCCCCTCGCGGGGGAACCCGTCCAGACTCAGGGCGGGGGGAGGAGGTAAACCTCCCGCGCAGGGAAAGCAAGGAGGCTGGAAAAGGAAACGCTCTAGACCACCTGCGCCCAGAGGGCTGGTGGGATTTGGGCCCATGCGCACACGTCGAGTCGCCAGGCGTCGCTCCAGCGCCCTGCCCTGCCGTGGCCGTGTAGGCCAGCCCCTGGACGTCTATCGGGCAAGTCGCCTCCGGATGTCCCGCACGTGAATCCAGTCAGGTGTGCTTCCAGCTTCCAGCTGCCCTGAGATCCTGGCGCTCAAGTTTTTCCGAGCTGGGCGCTTTCGCCCTCTTTCGGGCCCCGGGACCCTCGCAGGTCGATCCGGCCCGAAAAACGACTGGGGTTCAGGGCTCTGGGCGCGTGTGTGTGTGTGTGTTTTTGCTTTGTTTTTGCCGCTACAGTCGGCCCAGATTATTAGGTCGACCCTGCCAGCTCAAGGGTACCCTTGTGTCCTGTGCCTCGCGACACGTGCCTCCTACATTCCCCATGGCGATGTGGCCCTCGGAAGGGTCTTGTGTCCTCTCGCGTGTCCTCTCCAATCGGTGCCGACTGTACGTCGGGTCGCTCCAGAGAGAGCATCGTTTGGGGCGGAGGCCAGCGGAGGTGACAAATCGGCGCGGCCGCCAGCGGGGGGCCGGCAGAGGGCAGCGGAGGAAGGAGCGAGGCGCACGCAGTGCTTCTGGAGCAGGGGTTCCCGGAGTCGGCGTCGATGCTCTGTGTGCTGGATCAGTGCGCCTCCTCCTCCTCCTCTTCCTCTTCCTCCTCCTCCAACTCCTCCTTCTCCTCCTTTTCCTCCTCTTCCTCCTCCTCCTCCGAGTAGCGGGTTCCTGGACCAGTTCCCTGTCGGAGGCACTAGGAGAGACGAGGACACAGGAGGCACGTCGTCGAGGAGCTGGGGAGGAGGTGCGCAAACTGTTAGATGAGCAGCACATGATCGCGCCAAGTACGTTCTACCCGTATGAGCACACGTATTATTCTTCGGCTAACCCTCCTTCTGCTTCACGGTTGGACTATTTCTTCCTGGTAAACGGTTATCAGCCGAGGATCAGACAGTGTGGGACCCTTCGGGAACTAGGAACTCAATTACAGGCTGTCCGAAGGGTACCTCCACGGGACCACCTGCCCATGTGCCTGACTTTGGAATATGTCAAGGACCCCCACGAACTCCCACGCCAAGAATGCCAACGTATGTGCCCCTCCGCTCTGATGCAAGCAATAAGCAAAGGAGTAGGGAAGCTACCTTACTTGAGGGACATCGCGGCTGCTATTGACCTTCGTCATAGTGAACTAGTCCAGTTGACAGAGAAGGGTGCACCCGATGAGTTCTTCGAGCAGTTGGAAGGTATACTTACTCGAGTTGGCCGCAAACACTTTGTTCGCCCTCCTCTCGCTCCTCCCCCTGCTGATTCGGCTCACCGTCGTTCCCTTCTTCGGCTCCGTCGAGAGCTTCGGGCCCAACGTGCCGAGAGGGAGGATCTGGATAAGGTGGAAGAGGAGCTGAAGGAGCTATCAGGAAGACAGCAGGTGGAGAAGGAGGCCTTCATCGAGATGATACAGGAGGCGTGGGAGGAGAGGGGGATGGCCGACGCGATGATGATTTCGAGACGAGCTGCGAGGTGCCGATTCGGAGCGAAGCAAAGGGACGGTCGTAGATTGGGACCCCCACCTCTTGACAACGAAGTGTGGTTACGTCATCTGTCCTTACCTGGTTCTGAAAGGGGTATGCTTGCACGTGAGATCTCGTGGCCACAGTGGAGGTCTGAGCGTGAGAGTCAGCCGGTGCCACCGACGTCCGCGGGGGAAGAGAATGACATATCGGAGCTGGCAGGTGAGGACTTTCGTGCTATCCGCAGTTACATGAGACGTGCAGGCAAGAGACGTGCTGTTCCCCCTGAGACTGCCCCCTTGGAGTTGTGGGACATGATCTTGAGCCCCGAGCACGGTATCCCCGAGGAGAATGCAGGAGCAGGTTTAGGTTATGAGGAGGAGGTTCCAGATTTGCAGCCCCTGAACCACTTGTTGCACCTCGGGCTGTCCCAGATTCGGCGGGCACAGATGACTCCGTTGTATTGGCATCGTTCCAGAGAGGTGGGCCTCCCGAAGTCTTCGGACCCAGGACCGCGAGGTAGGCGACTCATACACACCCTCCCCTCCTTCGGCAAGGCGTGGTTTGCAGAGAGGTTAATCCAGAAGTTACCATATCAGGATCACGGATTCGCTCGGCATCGTCGTAGAGAGGATGCTATTGCGAGTACAATGATTATAGGATATAGACTTAGGCAAGCGGGGTGGGCATATGCTACTACAATGAAGGACCTATCTAATGCATTTGGCAGTACTCGATGGGACCGTCTAGATAAAGTAGTGCAGGAAGTTGTTCCCCACCATGATCGTGTTCTGTGTCGGCAGAGGTATCGCTTGTCAGTTGTTGAAGTTGAAACGTCCTCGGGCATATTAACAGTAAAAACTGGGGTAGGTGGAGTTATGGGGGATCCCTTCAACGTGCATGGGTTCTCAGGCGCGTTCATTGTTCCTGTCCAGCAGTGGGCCGACGAGAGCAGGTCCCAGCTGCCGTCCACGGCTCTTCTTGAAGCCCAGTGGTGCGGACGGCCGGTGGACATGTCGTATCAGAAGTATGCTGATGACCTCTTGCGCACCCTGTTGTTCCCTGTCGGCACGCCCATGGAAGAGGTATTCTCGCAACTCCACGAGGCAGATCGGATTCTGGACGAGGCGTTGCGTCCAGCTGGCTATGTACAAAATTGGCAGAAACAGAGTACTAGCTTTTATATTGGGGGAATGGGCGCATCAGCATGTAAAAAATACATAAGGGAGGAGGGGGTGAAGAAGAAGAGATTAGATGGGTCTGTATGTGATGTAGCTCGTTATCTCGGACCAGTGATTACCCCTGCCCAAGCATCTGCGCCTGAAGTTGAGAGGCGTCTGGTTGCTGCCACGTCAGCGTATTATAGTATGGACTCGTTCTGGGCTATACGATCCCCGAAGCGGTGGAAGAGAACCATTTTTGTAGGACTTGTGCAAGGCTCCCTACTTTCGGGCATGGAGCCGTCCATCTTGAGCGAGAACCAGCTGAGTGCCATGGGTCGTCACTTGGCTCGTCTTGGTCGTTCAGCGACGCAGGGTCTTGCGTGTACGGAGAGAGAAGATGGTTCGAAGAGATCGTTGTCCACCGAAGAAGTATTGCAGTATTGGGATCTTGCCACTTGTTCGATCGAGCTTTTAACTAGGAGACTGGCGTGGTATCAGGGTTGGGCCTCTGCGCAGGATGACCGTGTGCAGATCTTGACAGCGTTGTTTGCTGGCCTCCCTTTTGAACAGAATGATCGATGGCCTTGTTCGGAGTCAGGACTCACGGAGTGGGCGTCACCATGGACTAAACGTGCCGGTCTTGATTGTAAGGAAGCTTCCCGTGCGCGCCCTGACCACGAGGAACTATTAGAACGTATTTCTACCTGCCCCTGGTTGTTGATCGAGGATGAGGAAGTGATGAGGGAGTTTAAGTGTATTGACGTTCGTCGGGTTCGTGATTGTCGGAAGTCGTTCGAGGTCCCCCCGCCAGAGTGGAGCTCCCCTGCCGTACCGAACTTGAATATGGAAGCAGACGATGAAACCGATCTCCCGTTTATGTGTACAGCGTCAGGTGATGATGGGCAACAATGTCAATAAGTTTTCAGTACTGCCAAAGGTCTTATGAATCATCTACGAGCACAGCACCACATAAGGAACCTAGGCCACGTCCTGATCAAGACTAACCATTGCCCGATTTGTGATCGAGTATTTCGGTCTAAAGGCACAGCATTCCGTCACCTACATCATGCAATATTAAGAGGATACTGTGGGAGATGGGAGCCTAAGTCTATTACCAATTACGTGGTTCCTGATGGTTTTCGTTGCGAGGTTTGTCCTTTCGAGGGGGGAATTACCAGGCCTCCAGTAGCCATATTTTGGTTCACCTTCCGTGGAGAACCTTGCGGGATCGACCTGCACCTACGCGTTTCTGCGCGAGCTTCTCTGTCAGGGGTAGCCATGGCGGAGACCGCGATGCCGTCGTGGATGAAGAGGCCCGCGGCGGAGGCCCTCGGATCGGCGCCTGCTCGCGACCAGAAGGTCGCCAAGGCGGCGGGGAAGGGGGGGGGGGGGGGGGGGCGGAGGTTCGTGCCCCCAAGGACGACTACCGCATGCTGGTGATCGTGCTCGCGAAGCTGGTGCGGACGGGCGCCCGCCAGATCGCGACGCTGGAGTCGGCCGTGTACGAGAGCTACTTCGCGTCAGAGGACGGCGAGGAGACGATCGGGCACGTGCCCCGCGTCGCGTGGGCCGACTACGAGAAGACCTCTGGCGAGCTGAAGCAGAAGCAGAAGAACGGCGAGGTGGTGGACTTCCGCTCGAGGGGCGCCCCGCACGTGCGCGTGTTCATCAACGTGCTGCGTCGCATCCTGGAGCTCGCCAAGGCGGGGGCGGTCCACGCGGACGAGAGCATCTACGGCCCCATCAAGGAGTACTGGGAGACGGTGATCTTGCACAAGGCGCCGTCCGAGATCGGCGCGGACGCCCTCCACTTCCGCTGCAAGAAGGCTCGGAAGGACAGCGCCGACGCGAAGGGGGTCCCAAGCATGGCGGCGTGCATGAAGAATCCCCTCGTGAGTGCGATGTGGACGGCCGCCCTCGGCCACATGGTCAGGGCCCAGAAGATCGAGAGGGTGGCGGGTCCAGCGCCCAAGGGGCCCTTGGAGCGCGAGGTATCGCGCATCGTCACGGAAATGCAGCAGAAGTGAGTAGTCAGTGGATGCAGCAGAGTGATCGTCTGGCCTCCTTGATTCGGAGGGGCCTCGTGCCATCTAGTGTTCCCGCTCCGCCATCTCCTCGCCTCGTCTCTTACTCCTCTGCCTCTTTGCCCACTGCCCCCACTGTCTCTGCCCCTCCCACGCCTCGCCCCAAGACAAAGGGGGGCGTGGCAAAAGGGGGTGGGGGGGTCTTGAGCCACTGCTGACTACCCATGCCGATGCTATGCCGATGCCCCCCCCCCCCCCCCCCCCCCCCCCTCCCCCCCTGCCCCGCGAAAGGACGGGGGGGGGGGGGCGCTCTAGGGGCGCAGTGAATGCGGAGGCTGCGCGCCCTCCGAGGGGAGGGGGCACGCACAGATGGCGAGCAGGTTCGCGAGGCCAGACATCTCGTGGGACGGGGGGTGGTGAGCTGGGCGGGACGGGCGAAGGCCCTGCTTGAATCGCTGGCCCCCAAGGGGCATCCGCCAGGGCTGCGCGCCCGAACGGCGGTCGCCCTGGATGGGGCTGCGCGAGCGGTGCTCGAGGGGGCACGGTGGCCAGCACGGTTTCCATGAGAGAGTAGACTGTCGCGAAGGCGACGCTCATAAGTCCAGAGTAGCGGCGCTTTCGAGGCTCGGACTTCCCAGAGCGAACTGAATTGAACTGAGCTCCTCGGGAGGGCGGGGGGCATATTGAAAGTGGAGAGGGCCATGAAGTAGGGAGAGAATTCATTGCCACGGTCATGGCGTTCACTCCCGACAGGGTCGGCGCATTTGCTCTCGGCGCGAACGGAAGGACATCTCTCGCGTTCGGCTCGCTAGATCGAGGGTCGAGGACTTCCTCGTCCTCGCGCTTGTCTTCCTTATCGTTGTCATTCTGCCCCCCTCGCTGCCCTCCCCGTCATCCACGCTGCCATCCTCGACATAGGCCGCCTCGTCGTCGCCGTCATCCTTTTCCTCTTGTCCCCCACGAGCCCAATAGACAAAATCGGTGCTTCCCGTTCTTTCCCGATCAGGTTTGCGCTTCGCGCACTCGGGAGGACATCTCTCGCGTTCGGCTCGCCCGATCGAGGGTCGAGGACCGATGGGCCCCAGACAGGTCGAACTGGGGTATATACATTACCAGTGGTGGGCTGTTTTTCAATCCCAGGACCGTTGAAAGCTCGGGGACGACGTCTGGGCGGTGTGGTTTATGTTTCTGTTCCCCGCTATCCCGGGGAAACAACGACATATGCATGCACCTGGATCCCGTATACACCAGGATCCGCTGTTCTGTTTGCAAATTTCAGTCTACCTGGCCCAAGGTGCCCCCACCCAGCTCTTCGCTCCCTCTTGGGGCCCTGGGTGCCCTCTGGGCCTCGTGCGGGGTGCTTTGGAGGCCTTGGCAATCCTGGGGGCACCCTGGGCCAGGGGCATTCCTACCTGGAGGACAAAACACGGACACCCAGAGCCGCCGATTCCAAGGAAAATAGGGGCACTGTGGGAAGTTGATGGGCAAGACGAACATCCAGGAGATCTGGAACACGTTGGGAATCCTGGGATTGTGCCGATTTCTGTGTGCCCCTGGGCCCCTTCCTTCTGGCAGCGCCCGAAAAAGTCCCCCCCTCCCCAGGAGTCCCCCACTGGCGCTGCCCCGTCGCCGCGGGAGGTGCCCCCCCTCCTCTCTCTCTCTCTCTCTCTCTCTCTCTCTCTCTCTCTCTCTCTCTCTCTCTCTTTCTCTCTCTCTCTCTCTCTCTCTCTCTTTTTTCCTCTCTCTCTCTCTCTCTCTCTCTCTCTCTCTCTCTCTCTTTCGAGAGACAGAGAGGGATACAAAAAGAGAGACATGGGGCCGCGTCGACGACAGGCCCCACGATCTCCTGGGCGAGATGGCTGTTCTGGCAGCGCACAGGCAGCGGGATCGCGGCATTATCCCCGCGCGGTGGCGAGCGAAGTGGCGCACTTTGCTCAGCATCAGCGCCGCCATGGCCATCGGCCGGGCTCTGCTGGACGCGGCGCCCGCGCAGTGCCGGCCTTGCGGCCCCGCGCGGAGCAGGGCGGCGGGCCTTGGGCCTGGCGGCGGCGGCGGGTAGCCTACTCCCTCTTCCTCCCCCTCCTTCCTCATTTGTGCATGTGCTTTGATGGATTCATGGTGGAACTGCAAGAGAGAGAGAGAGAGAGAGAGAGAAAGAGAGAGAGAGAGAGAGAGAGAGAACGAGACAGAGAGAGAGGAATATAGATAAAGAGAGAGAGAGAGAGAGAGAGAGAGAAAGACAGAGCCAGAGAGAGAGAGAGAGAGAGCGAGAGAGATAGAGACAGGGCGAGGAATACACATATATAGAGAGAGAGAGAGAGAGAGAGAGAGAGAGAGAGAGAGAGAGGGAGAGAGAGAGAGAGAGAGAGAGAGAGAGACACACACAAAGCAAACAAGAGAGATAGAGAGACTGGCGACCCGCGCGCAGGGCCTGCCCTTTTCGGGCGGTGGCCCAGCATCCCAGGAGGGACAAGGGAGGCGAGAGGAGGGAGTGAGGGAAAGCGGGAGGCAGTGAGGCAGGCAGGGAGGGAGGGAGGGAGCGAGGAGGAGGAGCAGGAGGAGGAGGAGGCGGAGGAGGACGAGGAGGACGAGGACGAGGAGTTAGAGGGGGAGGAGGAGGGGGAGAACGAGGAAGAGGAGGAGGAGGAGGAGGAGGAGGAGGAGGAGAGGAGGAGGAGGAGGAGGAGGAGGAGGAGGAGGAGGAGGAGGAGGAGGAGGAGGAGGAGGAGGAGGAGGAGGAGGAGGAGGAGGAGGAGGAGTTGAAGGAGGAGGAGGAGGAGGAGAAGGAGGAGGAGGAGAAGGAGGGAGGAGGAGGAGGAGCAGGAGGAGGAGGAGGAGGAGGAGGAGGAGGAGGAGGATAAGTTGAAGGAGCGGGAGGATCAGGAGGATAAGGCGGAGGAGGAGGAGGAGGAGGAGGAGGAGGAGGAGGAGGAGAGGAGCAGGAGGAGGAGGAGGAGGAGGAGGAGGAGGAGGAGGAGGAGGAGGGGAGCAGGAGGAGGAGGAGGAGGAGGAGGAGGAGGAGGAGGAGGAGGAGGAGGAGGGGTGGAGGAGGGTGGAGGAGGGTGGGGGAGGGTGGAGGAGGGTGGAGGAGGATGGAGGAGGGTGGAGGAGGATGGAGGAGGATGGAGGAGGGTCCGTGGAGGAGGGTGGAGGAGGGTGGAAGGGGGGTGGAGGAGGGTTGGGGAGGGCGGAGGAGGAGGAAAAGCAAGGAGGAGGAGGAGGAGGAGGAGGAGGAGGAGGAGGAGGAGGAGGAAGAGGAAAATGAGGAGAGGGTTGGCGGCGAGCGAGGGTGGGAGTGAAGTTGGTGTGGTTTCTTCCCTGCCCGCTCTCGCCGCCGCCACCACCTTGCCGCCGCTCGCCCGCCAGCCGTCGTGGATATTAACGCTAACTACGTTACTGCAGCTGTCGAGGCTGCGAGGTGAGAGGGGGGCTTCTCAGGAGGCGGCGGGACGCCTCTGGAGCGCTCTGGCCTTTGAAAGGTTTCCTGTGTCTTCGGAGGAAGGCTTAGGGAGGACTTCGCAGAAGGCCGGGGGACTTCCGAGCCTTCTGAGAAGGCCCGCCACTTTTCATTTCCCCTGGCTCGCCGCCGAGTGGGGGTCTTCGCTCCCTCGGCAGAGGATTGCAGTTTTGGGGGTGTTGTTGCTTCCCTGTTGGACCTCCTCAGGGACAGGCGTTGGGGGTGCGACAGGCTCAGGGGGGGATGCTTCGCCCCCTTCTCGCCCATTCGTTGCCGATGGGGGCCGGAGGGCCCACTGCAAACTTGCGGATTCGCTTTCGGGGGCATATCGCCGATTTATCGGCGGCGCATCGTTGATTCCAGCTCGATGCTTCCACCCCCCCAATCTGGTCCCCCCCAAACGCTCCTCCACACCTCCAGGGGCCTCCGAGGGCATCCCGGGGACTTCCAGGTCCTCCAGGGACCTCTGGTGACTTCCCGATCGATGCTTGCAGAGACCTCAGGAGATCCAGACCTTCAGCGCCTGGGGAAACAGACAGCGCAAGAGCTTCTTCGCCGCTGCCGTTGTGCATGGGGGCCGTTTCAAGGCCCCAGGGCCGTCGAAAGACGATTCGGGATGAAGGGTTGGAGGCCGTTTGTCTTCATACGCATGCAAGTTTACTTGCATGGATGTGGGAGGGACGGCGGCGTGGCGAGGCGAGACATGACATTCGAACTTCACGCAAGTCGGGACTCAGTTGCACGCGTTTTCGGCCTAGCGCTGTTTGAAAGGGCGGCGGGGCGCGGAGAGGTTGGGCCGAAATGCCATGCAAGTCATCTTGCCCGTGTCCAGAGGAAAACGCCCTCGATCCTGGTCCTCGGCAAGGGGTCGAGAGGTCCAGGGGCCCGCGCTGCGAACAAGAGTCGAGTCGTCGGAGGTATGGGTATCCTCCTGGGGGGCCTGGGAAGAGGCGATCGTGGTGATAGCGATACCTTCGCGCACGTGTGTGAACCGCACGTGCGTGCGCATGCGTCGCATACATCCAAGACGCTGAATCAGGGACCGCTCTGGGGATTCGGAAGGGGCTCGCGGTTCGTCGGGTCATTCTGTGGTTTTTCCTCTGGCCCTCCTCGTGCACCCAGGCCCGGCTAGTGCCAGGCATGCGTTTCGTTCCTAATCGAGCGTTCCTCATTTCAGCAGATCGATTGTATATGCGTAGTTATGTAATCACACACATACAGACATGCTTACCTGCACGTGCGCGCATGCATGCATACATGCATGGAAGTATACGCATATACACAGGAGTGCGCACACGAACGCAGTCTCCAGCGCCCTGTCCATGCCCTCTCCGCCGCCCCTGGCTCCTCCCTGCGGGCCCTGTCCTCGCCGCCCTCGACACTTACACAATATGAAAACACTTCTCTTTCTCTCCCCTGATGACGTCAGGGAGATGTCCGGCCCCCCTCCGCGTATATTTTTTTTACAGGATTCCTGGGGGGTGGGTTTTAATTTGTTTGTTGTCAAAATGTTGCTCCCGCTGAAGCGCTGGCCCCATTTCTGCGC